AAAGTTGACTCAGCTTTCCGTCCTTCCGAGGTCGGTAGAATGAGGACCCAGATTGTTGGGGGCAAGAGAGGCTGACCCTGTAAACCGCTTAGAGAGGGCTGTAAAAGCACTGTGAAGCGGTATATGTCTAAATGATACTGCTAAGGAAGGAAGGAAGGAAGGAAGGAAGGAAGGAAGGAAGGACGGACGGAAAGGCAAAGGAAAGGAAGGGAAGGGGAAGGAAAGAAGAAAGGGAAGGGGAATGAGGGAATGGAGGAAGGAAAGAAGGGAGGAAGAAAGAAGGGAGAGAAGGGAAGGGAAGGAAGGGCCCTGGTGGCACAGTGGTCAGAATGCACTATTGCAGACTACTTCTGCCCACTGCCAGCAGTTCGATCCTGACCGGCTCAAGGTTAGACTCAGCCTTCCATCCTTAGAATCTAAGCAGATTATATGGGGCAATCGGATGACTCTATAAACAGCTTCGGGGGGGCTGGGAAGCCCTATGAAAGCAGCATATAAATGCTACGGCTACTGATGGGCATTCCTGATCTGCAGAACCGTATGTGGCGTAAGACCAGATCGAAGATAGCGGGATCCACTTGCATCGGAGTCGACCCCAACCGGAATTGGGCAGCAGGCTTTGGAGGTAAAACATTGGTGTTGGGGGGGGGTGTTGGGGGACTGGGCAGCTTCATCAACGGAAGAAGTCGGTGCCCCAATTGTGGTCGCAAGTCGAGGACCGCCTGCGGTGGCGCAAGAATCAAGGCGGGGCTGGTTTGTCATTTTGCATTGCAGGGACTGGCTCCAGCGGGAACCCCTGCTCCGAAACCTACCGCGGGCCTTATGCGGAGTCTGAACCGGAGGTGAAAGCCATTGCGGATTTCGTGCGTCAACACGGCAACATCAAGGCCTTCGTCTCCATCCACAGTTACTCCCAGATGCTCCTCTACCCTTACGGTTACACCACGGAGAAAGCGGCAGATCACCAGGAGCTGGTAAGCTTCCTCGGAAGAAGCATCCGAAAATTCACCTGTCTTTTAATAATGTTCTCTTCTAGTTTTGTTCCGACTTTGGGGGGGTGGGGTTGTGTATTTTAATCTTTTGAATAAAATTACACACACACATCCCTATGTAGGTATATATAATTTTATTCAAAAGATTAAAATATAAAGGAGAATATTTGTAGCCTGGAGTTGACAGGAGGGGGGGGGTCCTCTGAGCTCACGTATTTTCTTGCAGACGTTTCACAACCCAGCTAGGTAACGTCATCAGGGCTGAAGGGAGGGGGTTTGTGGAGGGGGAAAGGGAGAGGGAGGAGGAGGAGGAAGGGCAATTGGTGCTGTCTGAGGTTGGTGGTTTTCTTGCAAATGTTTCGTGCCCCAAGTAGGTAACATCATCAGTGCTAGAAGGGAGTGGGTTTGTGAGGGAGAGAAGGAGGAAGAAGAGGAGGAGTGGGAGGAGGAGGAGGAAGGGCAATTGGTGCTGTCCGAGGTTGGTGGTTTTCTTGCAAATGTTTCGTGACCCAAGTAGGTAACACCATCAGTGCTAGAAGGGAGTGGGTTTGTGAGGGAGAGAAGGAGGAAGAAGAGGAGGAGTGGGAGGAGGAGGAGGAAGAGGAG